TGAGGACTGAAGCAAATATGCTTGGAGGGCTTGATGGCGCCTTGCCAAAGAATAACTGATATTCTTAAAGTTATTAATTCTCTCAATCAGCTTCTTAAAGTAATTGTGCTTAGCCTCAAATCGCATGGCCCAATTCCTCACAAGCGGTCCTCTTCTGCCAAAAAATTAAGACATTCACATTCTCAGTTTTTATTGTCGCAGTAGACCACACAATAATGAAAGTGACATCCTATTTAGTAAGTAAGAAATGTATCTGAATCACAAGAACTCCTAACCAAGATTTCCTAGCCCTAATTTTTCATGAATTAGGGCTAGGAGACAAAGGAAATTGAGAATCAACCTAGGCCAAAAAAGTTAACATGAAATCACATTTGACCTGTAACATATACAAAAAATCCATATAAGAAAAATCCCATGGGTTTCTCCATCATCACGGTTTTTTCTCTATCTATAGTTGAAAAATGTTTCACTCCTTTTATTTACCTTACAATCTGCCTTGGATAGTGAACCATATAGTGTTGCTTCGGGATCATTCGCCTATCATAAAGTTCACTGAATCCAGTAAGGTACTCCTCAGTTAGAACCGCAAGATATGCTGCCAGCTGATTGCTTGTCTTGGGAGCAAAAATGATCTCCTCTATTTGAAGAAGGCGGAGAAAGTTTTCCCAATGCTCATCACCAACTGGAACAAGGTCACCAATAGGAATAGGTAGCATTCGTGAAAGGCACCACATCTGTGAAGCTAACAGTATTAAAACATGCAAACAGAGAGGTATTAATATCGATGATGACTATGATTCCCAAAAACTTTTTTTCTTAATGTTTTTGCTGAGGGGCTAGTTGTTACTACCCATTGGAAAGGGATTTTCTGTCAGTCAGAGGGGAAAATAAAAAACTGATAGGCAAGAATAAGAAAATGTCTCAAACGTACCTGACTGACTTAAAGTGGCAGAATCAGAAGACAAGGCCTGCTGCTTTAAGGCACTTGAGTAGATATTACCAAAAGTTTGCTTATTAAAGGGGACATGGATAAATTTATACTATATAAATTTCAGAAAGAGACAGCCATCAAAACACTCTCTGGCAAGTAAAAGAAGACAGGGTTTGGCCCGCAACAAGCGAAAAAGAGAAGAAAGAAAGCTTTTGAAAAGAGGAGTAACAACATTGATCCAAGAACTCAAAAATGACAATGACTCACTAACCAAAAAGTGTAATATGGAGACAAATATAAAGGAAAAATACTTTGAGATGTGGAGAGCATCTGAAAAAGAAAAGGATAGAATTAAAACATCTCAGTCCGTTTTTCGAGGTTTTCAGCAAAGGTTAACCAAGGAGCCAGGTTCTAATAGAGAAATCTTAAAGATAGATCCTTCTATGCTGGTAGATGTTGATGGCCCATCAGTTGAACTTGGTAGAGGAAGATTTGGCACACTGGTATTGAAACAGTTTAGGTCATCTCCAGTAGCTGTCAAATATTTTGATTCCTCCAGTACACCTAAATTGGTGGAAAGGGAGGCATCATTTTTAGCACAGTGTTGCCATATTAACCTGCCATTGATATATGGGATGAACAACACCCATGCACCCTTTTTTATTGTCACACAATTTTATGGTAGTGAAAGCTTCAAGCCAGTAACATTAAGAGGTGTCATCAAAGAAGAGGCTGAGGTCTCAATAGAAAGTTCAGAGAACTGGCTTCATATTTTAACACAGCTTTGTGACTGTCTTAGCCACATTCACAGGAAGGACATTCACAATGACATTAAGAATGATAATATTGTAATTGTATGCAATTCTAAAGGCTGTTTCTCACCAATTCTAATTGATTTTGGAAAGGCATGTCCACTTACTCAGGCAAAAAAGAAAATCCTGACAGAGGAAGAAAAAGCTATGTACTACAGAGAGCACTGTCACATTGCTCCTGAGGTCATTGAAGGATCTCATTCTCAATCAATTTTGAGTGACATGTTTTCCTTTGGGGTAGTGACTGCAAGTATTCATAAGTATACAAAGTATCGCCCATTTAAAGTGCTTGCAAGAAACTGTCTGAAGCCTGTTTCAAACAGGTGCACTTCAGCTGAGCTGCTTAGTGTTATTTTAAATTTTCCTGTTGAGAAGTTCAGTTAACGTACCCAAAACAGGAGTATATAATTGTAGAACTTCATTTCCTCAATCTGTTATGGAGTACATTTTTGATAGTAATTTTGGAATTCACTGTCAGTTGAGTACAAATAACTATGAAAAAATAAATATATTTTGGCCACTATTACAGTGATTCATTGAAAATTTTGTCGAACAGGTCTTGTTTACTGGCCACTACATAATGTCTGACTGTTTTTAGTAGACATTTAGCAGCACTTTTATAGTCACGCTTTTTTTTGACATGTGCTTTACTATCATTTAAGTCTGTTGTCCAAAATAAATTTTGAAAAAAAATGTGGAGTTGACTTGTATTCTCCTATTCCTTTTTAAGGAAGCGGCCATGTGTCAGTTCAGCTCAAACAGACACTGGAACTATTGTACTTAATGCTAAACTGCCTTGGCCTGCAACGATAGATTTGCCCACTTCGTATAGACCAGAGGTGACAAAGCTGTTGCAGGACAAAGACAGAACAAAGTTGACTAGAAAGCTAAGAAAAAGCTTTGTTTCAAGAATTTATGAACATTTCTCAAGATATACCCTGTAAGTGGATAATGATACAGTGGAGTTCAGTATCCAGTACATTTATTTGATTAGCAATCTTGGGCAGTTTGAGTTAGTGTACACTTGCTATTTACCATAAATTCTACATTGTTCTCCTCCCACTTTTGATTACAGCCAAGCCAGGGCAAGCATACCCCCATAGAGTCCATTGATACAATAATTATTATTGAAAATTTATTGAATCTGCCATGCGTATCATGTTACAGGTCAAATTTGATTTCAGGTTAATTTTGATTTAACCTAGGTTGATTTTCAATTTCCTTTGTTTCTAATTCATGAGTAAATAGGTTAGGAAAAAAAGTAAAATGAGAATCAACCAAGGTTAAAAATATTTAACCTGAAATCAAATTTGACCGGTAACACATACTCAATCTGTTACGCATACACTATGAGTGTGAAATTCTTCTCAGCTTCCTTTCTGAACTGTTTCCATAATCAGAGCAAGGGTTTCCTACAAGAAAAGGCGTAATTTGCCTATTATTGATGGGCGAATTACGCCCTTTCTGCAGGAAACCCTGTAGATTACAGAAATAATAATTATTGAAGTCTTCAATTAGAAGACTAATTTTATTATTACTGTAGTCTAAAATTCACTGCTAATTATGCTTTTATGAATGTAGATTAGAATTTGAAAAGAGTTTCAGTGACCAAGAGGTTTATTTTCGGGTAATCATTTTCAGAACAAAATGTACATATTATGTGGAAGTATGTCACTGGACCTGGCTTGACTGAAAACATGATCAACTTAAAATTATTACTTTTGATTAAATTGTTTGCAACAAACCTCCTGGGATAATGTAGCTACTTTTAGCAATAAGGTAAGTAAGTTTATGTTCTGTTAAGTTTGACATTGTATCTCTTTTAGGGTGTCTGTACAATAAAGTTAAAACATCCATGATACGTTGCTCTAAACCATTCAATAAGATACTTACTACTCAACCTATAGGGTAGACCTAAATGTATATGCACAACTTCTAACAAAAATGGGTGAAAAACTGGCACGACTGCCTTCAAAGATATTGGACTTTGTAAATAATTATGAAATACAATACTGGCATAAGTGCAGCAGGTCAAAAATGAGGATAAGTGATGCACATTTAGGACAAAGAGAAGCCATTTGCTTAATTTTCTCACATGCCTTTAATTTTTTTTTCCAGATATCCTACAAAACAGCAGCTGCTGGAAATTTCCCAGCTTATAATCAAGACATTTCCTTTCCTTAAGGACAAATCTGTTGGGACTGGATATGTAAGTTTACATAAACGCATTTCCGGCATTAAAAATATCCTTCCTTGAGTACCCAGAACAGTTTGGAAGTTATTGAACCGAAATTATTGTTTAATAATTCTATTGAATTATGATACAGTGGAACTCTGATAAGACAGAAACCATTTAATGGGTATTACTGGGCAGGGGCAAAGATCATGACTTAGCACCTTATTTTGCACTTTTGAACAGCTGTTCTCTTCAATATACAGATGTAGAACAACTGAAAATTATGTAGATATTCATAGAGTGATAATTTTACTGTAAAAACCACTTAAAACCTCACTGATTACAAAAGACAATTTGACTAAATTAAAATTTGACTTTTAAACCCCACAATACATTTACAGTGTACTGTTGTTTGAGAGCAAAGTAAGAATCAGTTCAGCTTACTGTGATTCTGAAAATGGACATGCTGATCTCTCTGACTTTTCAATTCAATTCAATTTCTTTTCTCTCAATTTTCCACATGAACATCACTGTATAATATTGTTCAAGTTTTGAAAAAAAAGGGTCACCTTCCACTGGCTTCTTCTGGATACCAGCAAATGGCTTTGAGCTTGGGTAATCCCGTTGATGAAAGAATTAAACACAAATCGCTAGTTTGATTAGTAAATTACAGAGCTCAATGAACACGGTAACCTTAAGTCATCAGTGTGACCATGTCACACCAAGTACAGCGGTCGCCAGAAGGCAGGGTTCCACTGTGCTTTCTTAGCAAGTTTAGAAGTCCACTATAAACCCCCACCCTGACAATTAAAACACCTAGTCCTGAACTTCAGAAAATGGTTATAATGCAAAAATGTTTGTATTCGAATTTTAGGATTCCTGGTTTTCCCAGCTCTATGACAAATTCAGAAACGAACGGAAAGGTATAACTGATGACCCTGAAGTAATTCTCCACAAAAGATGAAAAACTAAGAGGTCAGAGGTGCAGCCTGTGGCACTGAAGTTGAGAAGGGGTGGGATCAATTGGAAGCCACCTTTTCCAGAGGGAGAAGATGAGTTATCCTTAAAGCGGCATAAAGAGTGGCTGCAGAATGAGTGCATGCGAAGAACGCCTGATCTGAAGAGAGTGGCAGAGCGCATGAGTCTTACCCTCCCAGACAGACGGAGGCTAATGAACAAGAATGTGCCCCTAACAGAAGTGAGAGCAGAATACCCTGCTTTATTTGATTTCAAACAGGTATTATGTTCTTTTTTTTAATTAAGTTTCTCTTACTGATCAGGGAATGTCACACAGAACCCGTGGCTAGGGAATTCCCTCTCCCCAGGCTACTATGAGCATTTATTCCCGACTACTTTCATAAGAGAGAGAGAGAGCAGAAGTAGATCCAAAAGAACTTCCTAGCTGGGTAACTCTCTACACACTAATTCCATAATAATTTGAAACACTCAACTGATGTTCCCTTTATTTGCTATGGAAACGGGCTGGTAGAATAATATTGATATTTGATAATACTTTTTTTTAAGCTCCTCACTGTAGCAGGACTGCTTTATCTTTTGTGATTTCAGATTGTCACTGAATTTGAGAGGATATTAGGCATAAATACAAGCATTCTGGACACGTTTCAGTCTAACTTGAGTCAAGTTGCTGACCAAATAATTGAATTAGGAAGAGCCAGAAAGGGCAGGAAAAACTGTTTGGGAATAGAGGAGTACCTCCAACTCTTGGAGGGAGAGTTTAATGATGACGATGAAACTGAAAACTTGACAGGTATGAATCTTAAAATGATTGTAATAATATTATGCTTACTAAAATACTGTAAACTCTCACATTAGTACCCCCTTGAATAGGTGGGCCTTCCTGCATGCCAAAAAACTTATTTTAGCATTACACAAAATTGATGATGCAAAAGGGAGGCTCATGGTGCTTTCATTGGCATTTACTTCATGAAGATAAAAAAAATGATATTGTGACAATAATTGTCACAATGAAATTTATTATTTTTATGCCCCAGCTGGTGACACTCCTTTGTTTCAAATGCTGACTGAATAAAATTAACGTCTTTTTTATCATTATTTTTTCTCAGAGGAAAAAGAAGAGGTTGACATGGCAGTCCTTCCATTTTTGCTTAAACAGACATCTAAAGGAGGACAGTCTCAGCAGCAGGACTTTGTTCACTTTATTGCTGTAGGTAGTATACGATTTTATGACAGATCTAATATCATGTTTATAGCGAGCATCAGATTCAAGTTGATAAATTCTAATTATATGGATGAACATTACTTAATTAACAATTAATGAATGAGGCTGAGTATCTTATTAAGAATTATGGAGATCTCGGAGGGTGCTATCTGCCTTGGCCTACGGCCTTGATGGATAACACCCTCCTCGATGTTCATTATTGTTCTTACTACTATTACTATCATCATCATCATCATTTGTGTCCAAAGGGTGCAGTTGGAATCCACGTTCTCTCATGGAACTTTTTTCTATATCAGACTCACTGTTATTAGCCCAACAGATATTTCAGGGTCATTTTTTCGCGCGGAACTGGTATCTATGTTTAGCAATAGATAGTTAAGCCTCTTTTGCACAAACATAACCCTTATCTGACTGTGGATGCACTTCCCTAATTTTCAGTTACTACTAGTTGTTATTATCATCATTATCATCATCATTACTATCATCTTTATCATCACTTTTCTCACACGCTTAATATTATTTTAGAATGTACTGACTATGCTTAAGGAGCATTTCTATTAGTGTGCTGCATTAAACACAATCCTGGGCTTTGTCAACGCTGCAAATGCTTTAGTTGTCTAATTTTGTGTCTTCCATGAACGTACTGATCCTTTTTAATTGGCTTTTCCATTATAATGGAAACTTGTGATTTATAACAGTGGCTTTCGAAGATGAAATCATAACCAACTGATTTGTTTTCTTTTTTAGGATGTGAATAGCACAACAGCAAAAAGTGTGGCTCTTCAAAGTTCTTTTCCTTTTATCATTTTTGAAGGCAGCCTTGATTCACCTGGGCAAATTAATTTAGCAGCTGACAAGCAGTTGTTATGCTCTTTTACTGGCAGCCTTGTGGAGGCAGCATGTGGATTGCTCGCCAGTTACTATGTTTTTATGTTCAATTACCCTGTTGGGTTGAAAAATTTATTTTCGTATTTACAAAAGTGCGTTCTGGACATTAATGATGCACAGAAGCTTCCAGGCTCTGTCATCAGTTTAGTGAACGAACTTGATAGCCTATCAAAGTGCAATTAACCATGTTATACTACTACGTGAGAAATTTCTGCAATTTGATTGGCTTAGAGCAGTGGTATTTCAGCTTAATTTGAAATACCTACATGTGAAAATTACAAACCTTTTGCGGGTAAGTAGTATAAACAAATAATAGCATGATTTGTGCGTGATATTTGGCATAAATACCACTCGTGATACCTCAAAATTGTCCCAAATTCCACTCGCCTAACGGCTCGTGAAATTACGTGTAACAATTTTGAAATATCACTCGAGCTATTTATGCCGAATATCAGTACAAATCATGCCATTACCTATACATATCATACAGTGAAAGCATTACAATACCTTGGGTAGGGTAGCACTTATTTCAAGTCAACCGATAAAATTAATAACTTGATTTTTCTACATTGTAATACAGCAGACAGGCCAGTAGATTCAAACATGGATCTACTGCCATAGAGATTAAATGAATTTTTTCCTAGATTCTTGCGAGGTATATTGTTCAAAATATTTATGTCAACTAGCCTCAAAATCGTTTTGATATATGAGACTGTGTATTAATCCTGCTCATTAGGAGGATTAATACACAGTCTTAGTTAATTTGATTTCCGCAAAAAGTAACTTAACTTGCCCGTCAGGTGAGTTAATTCACCTGCCCAATAGCAAAGTCTACTAGCCCCGGCTATTGGACACTACTTGCTTTGCATGTTGCTGAAATATCTATTAACATTTTAAACAATGTGAAAGGTTCATAATTAGACATCTTTATTTTGGCACATAAGTTCTATAAATCGAGTTACATATGACTTGGTTGGTATATATCAGAGGTGTAGGGGTTGTTGCTTCTTTAAGTACTTAAGTGAACCCGTTTCCAGGACTATATTTTATATGTGCATTATTACAAAATCTTAATTATTATTACTGTTTTGAATCAAAACCTATGATTTTGCATTTAATCAGATTTAAGGAACATATTTTTTTAGTAATAATAAAATATTTATTATACAGGTGGATACGGATTTGTGTAGTTGTTACTTCTCCACTATATTATAAATAGCAGTTCTATGCATTAAAATGAGAACTGGGATATGATTCTTGTGTGTTTTTTTACATTATATGTTGCGTGTATTTTACTCACGCATTGAGTAAACTGTCCGTTTACTCAAAATAATGCGTTACTGTGGATTCACTTTGCTTGAGCCAAGTTAATCATTATATTGAGTTGGGTTTACTCACAGATGAGTAATGTGTACTTAGAGCATTGAGTGGAATTTACTCTTGTTTGGGTTATTGCACTCAAACGTGAGTAATTTTTACTCCCGTTATTGAGTATGGTTTACTCATGACTGACACTTCATTTTACTCAATATGTGTAGTCATTGTGGATTCAACGTTCTACTCAATATTTTTCGTTGAGCCTACTCGACTTTTTTTGCAGAGTGTGTTTTATAGTTGGGAGGTACAACAAGTGTATATTCTTTACTGTGGGTAAATCCATTCTCAGATTAAATCATGTTTCCTTGGTTTCCTATGAGAAACGTGTAAGGTTAGAATTAAGACAGGAATTCTGAATCACATTGAATACTGGTTTAACCAGAGCTCTGATTTTACTTTTACTGTATATAACTTCACCACCCCTTTGATTAAAAGGAAACATGCAGTATAATGATATTTTGTATTGCTGGTAAAAGATGGGTAGATTGTGGTATCAATATTATTTACATGTATGAACTGGAAGTACATGTATAATTACACAATTCTTTGTTTTTTTCTTTTGGCAGGAAGGAACAAGTGCTAAAAATATAGCTCAGCGCAAGGAGAAGGCCTTCCCTTTCCTTATCTTCACTGGGACATTGGATTTGCCGGGAAAAATTTACATTGCTGCTGACCAGCAGATTTTATGCTGCTTTGAGGCATCTATGTTTGAAGCAGCACTTACCTTTTTAGCAACATATTATGTGTTTATGTTCAATTATCCTCCTGGTTTAACCAATTTTTATTTGTTTCTACAATAATGTATATTACACATTCAGGATGACAAAAAGTTGCCATCCTCCCTGATTTCATTTGTGACTTCTGTTCATGAATTGCAGAGGAATGTGTAATGAACATTCTTTGTAAATAACAAGGCTGTCACTAACATTGCTTGGTACATACAGTTAGTAGAGGTGAATCAAACAGCTGGGGAGTTGTTTCTGTTCTATTTCCAGGTGTCGCGCTCATAGTAACCAGGGAAAATCACTGGCCCCTACAATAAGTGACAGCCCTGAAATTAGTTTTGGCAGAGGGTTCTTTCCATTATGTAATATTTTTTCAGTTGAAATGTTCGTTCCATAGAAAGTATTGTCCCGCCAAAATTTTTGGTTCTATTTTCAGCAATTTTGTGTCCATCCCTGGCCACTTTGGGATTTTTCTTAGTTCCAGATGTGTCATGGCTGTGAAATCTAGAAGCAAAGAAATGTGACTTAGTTGGTCCTTTTTGCAGCCTTCAATTTCATTCAATTTTCTTTTTTGTTTTTTCATGGAAAGCACTCCAAGTCAGATAATTGTCTTGCCCTACAATGGACTATCACACTCGTGAAAAACCGTTGAGAAACCCATTAATTTCAAGTGTTTGTAAATTTTTTATTTTTGGCATTTACTTAATATCTAGAGATCAATATCCGTTTTATATTATAAAAGATCCCCAGAAAGATTTTTATGTCCAAAGCAATGTACATCTAGATTGTAAATATAATATGAATTTCGTTTTTACTCAGTACCTTATAAGTACTACAGTGTGTGCTGAAACGTGATACAGTATAGGGGACAACGAGACTTTCCCTCTGTAGACTACAAATTGAACCTCAGGCTCAAGGCATCGGTTCATCTCATGCAGTTTCAATTAAGTTTTGTTTTACTCAAAATATAGTGTAAATATAATCATTTACTTTACTCAGTCGGTTGAGTATATTCTTGTTACTCAGGATAAGAGTGAAATTAAAGTTAACTCGAAATTTCGAGTATTTTTTACCTGTATTATGAGTAAAGACCAGTTTACTCAAAATAAAGAGTCAATTTGGATGCATTTGTCTTGAGTAATTTTACCTCTACTTTTGAGTTAGTTTTACTCAGCAATTGAGTATTTTAACTCAGGCTTGTCAGTAAATTTACTCATTCTGAGTAAACCTACTCGTATTAACGAGTAATAATTACTCAATACCTCTGCTTGAGTTTACTCACTATAATGGGTCAATCTGGATGCAATGATTTACTCAGTATTTTGAGTTCAGTCTACTCGGCTTTTTTTGCTGTGTGAGGTACGTTTGCCGATGGTCAGTTACTATGGTTTTTAAGTAGCAGGTTGTCAAGCTATTTATGAGTGAAAATGCATGATTTAACTTGTGGTGTTCCACAAAAAGGAAAGCATTGAGCAAGAACAATTAACGAAGGTGGTCATTGTGTATTTCCATTCCGATTTGATTTGATTGATTGAGCACAATACCGCCCACACTAGTATGCTCTAAGGGGGTGGGCGGGGGTGATGGTCTCCTCTTATGAATATGCACTCCTCTCTCTTCTTGACCAGGTAGAATTAGGTAGCTAAATAATAATCTGGTCAACAGGGGCGAGTGTTACGGACTTGTATAGCGTTACAGCGTGACATCGGGTCACGTGAACCTTGACGTTTGCAATCATGTGACTTGTGCTGCTGTACAAGTGTGTGATTTGCCGGAAACTTGAAGGAAGGCCATATCAAGCTCCACCGTCCCCGCCCCTCCCAGAATTAAGAGTAAAGGAATGCTCACCATTTACCTATACTGGAGTTGATTTTGCGGGACCTCTTTATGTCAAAAATCATTCTGGCCCTCAGCAGAAAGTATGGATCTGCCTCTACACTTGTTGTGTTACTAGAGCTATTCATTTGGATCTCGTACCCAGCCTCACAGCCTCCGCATTCATGAGCAGTCTCAGAAGATTTTCTGCCCGTCGCTGCACTCCACTGTTGATGGTGTCTGATAATGGGAAAACCTTCAAGTCAGCAGCGCAAGAAATTACGAAACTAATGAACGACCCAGGAGTTAAACAGTACTTTGCCAATGCACGGATGAAGTGGACGTTCAACCTTGAAAAGGCCCCTTGGTGGGGTGGCATATTTGAAAGACTTGTCAGATCTGTTAAGAGATGTCTGAAGAAGACTATCGACGGTGCAACCCTTACCTATGAAGAATTGCTTACAGCAGTCGTGGAAGTGGAAATGATACTGAACTGTAGACCTCTGTCCTACGTGTCTGGTGAGGATACTAAAGAACCCCTTACCCCGTCGCATCTCTTATGTGGGCGACGCCTAATGAGCCTTCCAGACAGCAACACCAGCGACACTCCAGATTATGACATTGACGTTCAGCCACAGGATCTAAGCAGAAGAATGTAGCACCTGAGCAACGTTCTCAACCATTTTTGGAAAAGATGGAGAAACGAGTACCTGATCGAGCTGCGAAATGCCCATCGTTACTTTGATCAGAATGACACTATCCGAACTGTATCTGTTGGAGATGTAGTTGTTGTGCATGAAGAAGATCAGCCCAGAGGAAAATGGCGTGTTGGCAAGATTTTAGATCTCATCGTTGGATCTGATGGTTGTACTAGGGGAGCTTTGGTCCAAGTCCGAAGCAAGGGAGGAAAATGCACGAAACTCAAGCGCCCTGTGCAGCGGCTTTACCCTTTAGAGATCCAGTGCAAAGTTCCTGTCCAACAAACAACCGAAGTAATCTCAAGCCAGAATCCTGATCCAGTTAGCACTGAAGTGAGAACTGAGCAACCAGTGTCTACACGAAGCTGCCCAAGACGAGCAGCTGCAGTTGAGGCTGACCGAAGAAGGGAGACCTGGCTGGAGGATCTGACTTAATGAACTTTGAACTTTGCTACGAATTATCGTTGAGTTTGGTTGTCTCAATAGTATGCAAGGGTTTGTTGACCAGATAGAATTAGGTAGCCAAATAATAATCTGGTCAACAGCGGGGAGTGTTACGGACTTGTATAGCGTCACAGCGTGACATAGGGTCACGTGGAACTTGACGTTTGCAATCATGTGACTTAACCGTTTTCGTTTTTTCCATATGAAATAAATCTCTCTGTGTGGTTTATATTTATCGATGTGGAACCTTCAGATTCTTTGAATTCTTCGAAACCAGCGACTAACGCCCTGTAAAGCGTTACCTTCTCTTACACAGAAGAATTTGACAATAACTATGCGAAATGAGTGCATTATGGGGTCTAAATTTCTCACGGGAATGCCATGGCCTAAAAAAATTGACAGTTTTTAATTTAAACGAAAAAAGGATAGAGAGA